CCCCCCCCCCCCCCCAACACAACACAACGCAACGCAACACTTCGCAATGCGCGGCCGAGTTCCGCGGGTGCGGAGCGGTGCGGAGCGGGGCACGGCCCCCCTGGGGGGAGCAGCGCTGCGTTGCGCCTTGCCCCCAGAGGTGCAGAGCGGTGAAGCGCGGGGGGTTTGGGCTGCCCCCGTAGTGCGGGAAGGGGGGTTGTTTAGAGATGGAAACGGGGAGTCGGGATGGAGCGGTCCGTGCTGTGCGCGCACAGTGCGGGAGGGGTCCGGCAATGCTCTCCAGCAGGAGGTGAAAATTCGGCTCTCCATCCACGGGCACCTTTAGCGGGCAGCTGCGCAACCCCGAGCCGCCTGCTGGGATCACCGCGCCGAGCATCATTGCTCCCGGTGCCCGAATTTCCCAAACTTCCATGAATTGGGCTGCGGTTTTCTCTCTCGGGAACCTGCGCTGGGCATTTCCTGATGGTTTAAAGTCCATTGGCTCTTCTGAGGATGAAGAATGAGGAGGAGAAGAGCACTGCTTCGGTCACAGCTGGGATTGCTGCGTTTAATTATCAGCTTTTAAGGATTGTAGCTCTGGAAATACAGCTCTGAATTGAACCATGAGGCAGCTTTATATGAGCTTTTAGATAAAGGTGCCTAAACTGGTGGTTTTGGAGGTCTCTCAAAAAAGCAGCTCACAATGCATGGTATGAACATGCCTGATCCTAGCTGCTGGGATCTCCTAAAAGCTGCTCTGGGGGCACCTGCAGCCCCAGGCACCCCGGATTGGGATGAGGAGCAGAGGGTGGATGGAAAGGAGAGAGCGAATGGCAAAAGGGGGGGAGAATGAGGCCTGGGGGGAGGCTGGGGGTCAGTGGGTAGCAGATGGGCCTGGAGGTGCTGGGATGGCCACGGGGCACAATGTGGGGAGATTGGGGGAACAAGGGATGTTTCCCAGTTCCCCATAGATGGAGCAGCATTCTGCTTATTTCTGGTTTGGAAATAAGATGTTGTCATCTTCTCTGGGGAGCCTGCTTGCTGGGATGTGGCCCCAGAGAAGAATAGGGACCATCAGGCACTGGTTAGGAAAAGCTTTTCCTAGCAGCAGGGAGCAGTGGGACCTCAGCAGGCTCCCAGCACCCCCTGCACCCCACTGCTGCCCTTGGGAAGTGTGAAGTCACTGTGCCACACAGCCAGAACGCTGGGAATGCCCAAACTCAGGCATTCTGTACAGAGTTTTTTGGTTGTTTTATTTACTTCTCATGATCCTAATGCAGTTCTGAATTATATTGTCACGTTCTTCCGTACAACGCCTGCACATGCTGGACCTGCTCTGTAGGTAAATCAGGAAGGAGACCTATAGCCACTAGGTCCCACCTTATCTGCTGAGCCAAAAGCTGCCCCAGCAACAAGAGCTGCAGGGACTGTCCCAAAGAACAGGACTCTCCTTGCCCTTGCCACAGGGGCAGTGCTAACAAAGTCATTAAAACAAACGTGGAAGTGCTGAGGGTTGTGTAGCTTGAAACTGAACTGCTGACACCCACTGTGGTGCAGCTGGAAGCAGTGGGTGCTGTGCTTGCATGTCTGAAGTGCTGGAGCACGCTCAGCGCTCTGGGAATGCAGACACTGCTGCTCAGGAGTGCCCTGAATTAGTCAAAACTGACCTTAATCCATCCACGTGTCATCCCTACCCATCTCCATAGTGGGTGCCTGGGGAGGATGCAGCACTGATGCAGTGCAGTGGAAAGCACCATTGGAAAATTAATAATTCTATCTTCAGGGCAGCCTGCTGGCTTCCCCATGCAGACCTATAGCCCCATAGCCCCCCTGCTGGCCATTTCTGTAGCGTTTTGGGGCAAAACCACTAAAGGACGTCCCATTATGTCAAAATGCAGAGCTGCAAAGCAGTGCAGACTGGTTGAGAACCCTGGGTCTGGTGTGCCCCTAGACACAGCTTCAGTGCAAACCACAGAAGCACAGAATCATCAAGGTTGGAAAAGACCATTGAGATCACCTCGTCCAACTGCTGACCCCCATGCCCACTAAGCCACTTCTCTGTCCAAAAGATGAGTGCCTTGTTTTGGCTCTAAAACTGCCCACTGAGATGCTAGAACTGCATTTTCTGTTGCTGTGAGCACTGTAACATGCTGAGCTAAGGCCTAGGACTGTATGCAGAGCAATTGCAATGCACCCAAAGTGCTGAGCCCCTCAATGCCCATCCTGCACGCTGCATGACCCAGTGGCACAGAAGGAAACCTGCAGTGAAAGAGTTCTCTGCTTCAGTGAATGAACATCCATGGAGCTGCACCGGCACCAAGAATTCTCATGCTTCTCATTCTTGAGCATTTGATCACCGACCAGATTTTGCTTACCATATATGTCCATTGATCCCAAATTTGTATATGAGCCCATATATGTAACACATACATAGAGTATACACAGAGCTTATACCTGGTGGGTGGTTTTACTACAGGAAGGTCACAAGCATATGATATATATGATGCTCTGTTTCATAGCATGTACGGCATGCGTTACAGAGAGCTCTGACACGGTGTTGTCAGAGAAGAGATAAATCTAATAATAAAAGCAACAAAAAAAGCATTTGGGGAGAAATAATACTGCACAAATCCTCTAAAAGGACAGAATTGTCTACACAACAAAGGCTCAGCTGATGGATGCTAAAATAAGCAGTTATGCAACAAGTAAGAAATACGATCTCCGGGGAAGGAGCCAGCAACCTTTTCCTTTCATCTTCACTCACTGGTGCTTATTTTTGCATACCTAAGAGAAAAATATAGACAGCCTTTCGACAGTGAGCACCTATGTTGAATGATGAGATGTTTAAGCGAAGGAACCCGCAGGGCTCAGTGCCGTACCTACAAGAGTCCCCCGAAGCACCACGAAGCTTCCATCGCCTCGGGGCTGCTGCTGGGATGTGGAGAGAGCAGAGTGTGGCACAACCTGCAGGAAATACATTGATTTCATGGGTGAGTGGGCTCACCATACAGCTGTGATTACAGAGCTGCTCAAACTTCTGAAGAATGAGCGTGCCATGGAATCATAGAATGGCTTGGCACAAAGAGATCCTACTGATCCCCAATGTGCTGCCCTGAGCTGGGTACCCCCAAAGCTCAGGCTGCCCAGCTCCACATCCATGGTCTTGAGCACCTCCAGGGATGGGGCATCTCATGTAAGAGTTCATCTCAGAACACTTGTGTTTGGTAAAACTTGTCTAGAGGATTTGAGAGCTCTGAAAAGAGGAGTGCCTTGCAGCCATCACGCTGCATTTCTGCAGTATCTGCTATGGCAGCCAGGTCCAAGGGAGTGTGAGAGGTCCCCAGATACAATGAAAACTCAGTGTTATTTTGGAGACCTCTGCTAACGATCCATTTACCCCTATGTTAGTTAGTAAGAAAGTGCTGGGAAAGCTCTGCTCCTCAGCTGCTGCATCCAGCTGGCACACTGGAGGACCAGCTCTGGTGACAAAGAGCTCACTGAGACCCTCAGAAGCACATGGCTGCTCACTTACTCCCCTAGATATCCTCTCCCAGTAGCCAGGAGAATGCAAAGTGACCCCTTGGCCACTTCAGCTCCTGCCAAGGAGCAGGGCAGCACGTGGCTGTTCTGGAGGGAGCAGAGAGGTGCACGTATCTCACTGCATCCATACTGCAGGTGGGGCTCTCCGATACCCCAGCTGTAATTGGGATATCTAGTTTTGATTAAAACGTGTTAATTTGGAGAATAGCAAGCAGATGCAGTAGAAGGAAAAAGAGCAAGCTCTGTTCTAAATTATAATAATTATCACTCCCATCTTCGAGAACGAACTCCTACAGAAAGATCAAGGGCGAGATGGCTGCTATGGTCATTACACAAACGAATCCTTTTGCTTTGTCAGTCATTCTGCATAATTCTTTTCCTCTCTGAAGCTAAGGAAAAATGCTGTTCTTACAGGAGAAGAGAATTGGATTTGGCAGATCAGTGGATAGAGAGATTTGGTTTGCAGTCTCAATTACCTCCACTAGCTGGAAATCTGGCATCAAAATAAACTGTAAACAAACAAACAAAAAAACTCAAACAGATACAACATTACAAAGTCCATCTCTTGATGGATAGCTCAAAATTCGCTATGTTCTAGCAACAGCTGCTTTAATATCTTCCAGGGAAATGGCAGGCTCCCTCTGCCCAGAGGGATTGTCTTTAAGGAATGCCTCCGTAAGTGGTTTTGTGTAAGGATGCTCATGTTCTTGTGTGCTGAACTCCTGCCAGATAGCAGGATTCCCTTCTGGTTGGTTTCTCTGCTTTCTGTGGGTTCTGTTCTGTCTGGAAGCACAAGAAGTATGGCACACTCTTCCCACAGACCCCAGGCTGGGAGAAGCGTGGCTTACAGAGGGCCCTTGAGGGCAGAGTATGTTTGGAGAGACAGCACAGCAACACAGAACAGTTGGGTTGGATGGGACCTCTGGAGATCCTCCAGAGCACCCAAAGCAGCTGCTCTATGCTGGAAGACACCCAGGAGGGTTT